ACGTCGCCGCTCAGCGTGACTACGAGCTCCACTCTCTTGACTTCAGCACTGCCTTCCTACAGGGCAGCCTGCACGAGGAGATCTGGCTGCGCCGCCCACCTGGCTTCACTGGGTCGTTTCCTGCTGGTACCCAGTGGAGCCTCCGGCGGCCAGTCTACGGTCTCCGCCAGGCGCCCCGTGAGTGGTACGACACACTGAGGACGACTCTTGCGGCTCTTGGGTTTGCTCCTTCTACAGCTGACCCGTCGCTGTTTCTACGCACCGACACCTCTCTGCCGCCGTTCTACGTTCTCGTGTTTGTCGACGACTTGGTCTTTGCTACTGCTGACACTGAGGGACTCGCCCACGTGAAGTCGGAGCTGCAGAAGAGACACACGTGCACAGACCTGGGTGAGCTGACTAGCTAACTTGGCTTGCGGATCACCCGGGACAGAGCACAGCGCACCATTACCTTGACTCAGTCACACATGGTGCAGCAGGTCCTTCAGCGCTTCGGCTTCGAGTACTCCTCGCCACAGCCCACTCCTCTGCTTACTTGCCACTCGCTCTCAGCTCCACCTTCGAACGAGTCCGTAGAGCCGAGTGGTCCGTACCCAGAGCTTGTGGGCTGCCTCATGTACCTGATGACCTGCACTCGACCTGACCTTGCCTACCCTCTTAGCATTCTGGCACGCTATGTCGCTCCTGGGAGACACCGGAAGGAGCACATGGATGTCGCTAAGAGGGTGTTGCGCTACTTGTGCAGTACGTCGGGCATGGGGCTCGTGCTTGGAGGACGGGCTCGAGTTGTCCTCACTGGTCACCCAGACGCTTCCTGGGCTGACGACTTGGCTACGCAGCGGTCGTCACAGGGTTACACTTTCAGTCTTGGCTCTGGCTCTGTTTCGTGGCGGTCTACCCGCTCGTCTTCTGTTCTCAGCTCCAGTTGTGAGGCTGAGATCTACGCAGGGGCCATGGCTGCACAGGAGTTACGCTGGCTCACCTACCTGCTGACCGACCTGGGAGAGCCGCCTCGTTCTCCTCCAGTTCTGTACGTCGACAACAAGGCCATGATTGCCTTGTGTCAGGAGCACAGATTGGAGCACAGAACGAAGCACATCGCTCTGCGCTACTTCCTTGCTGGAGAGTTGCAGCAGCGTGGTCAGCTTCGTCTTGCTTACGTGGCCACTCGGGCCAACACTGCTGATATCTTCACCAAGGCACTTCAGCCTTGTGATCATCAGCGTTTCTGTACTGTTCTAGGCCTTGTGCCTACTTGGCCTCACTTGCTCACTTCTTGACTTTGCTTGTACTGTGATCTCTATACATATACCTGCATGTTATCACTTGCTAGGTTGTGATCACTGTATTGCTTGTTCTCCTTTATATAACTCTGCATGTGAACTGGCCTTGTGGCCATTTGCTTGTTCTCAGAATGCGTGGTGACGTCGTGATCCACCCTGAGCTTGCTTTGCTTTTCTTGACTGGTCTTGTGACCTCTTGTTCTCCCCCACTTTGCCTATGGGGGTGTGTCAAACTTATATGCTATAGCTTGTGTAGGCTGTAGTGGGGTAGCCCATATGGGGTACAACCCAATTAGGGTTTTCCTACTTGTACCCACCTGCTTGCTAGTTCAATCATTCATTCCTGTTCATTCTTGTAACATTCCTACTTGTACCTACCTGCTTGCTAATTCAAACATCCTTTCCTTCACATTTCTGACAGAAGTGTTGTATTTGCGGAAGCGTTTTGATAACAAAGGTTGAACCACCTTGCGCTAGTGTGTGAGGGCAAAGTATATTAATTAAAGCAAGAAGATACAAGGTTTTATAAGTGTACAAGGAATATGAAAGGATGCAGCTAATAACTGTTTTACTGTTGCTATTGCGGTTCGATACAGTGACGACTCGGGCAACTGCTCAGTATCGAGTCAGTTGTTTGTCCTTGCTGTCGCGCTGTATTTGTCAAGTCAAAGGTCGCTGACCTTTGACCTTCGCGTAACCTCCAGCGGTTACTTCACTTGTCAACCTCCGATGGTTGACTCGCCGTTGTTCCTCTGTAGTTCGCCTCGTTTGTAGTTCGGTGTTACGACACATCAGAAGCGTTAAGTTACTTGTTTCCAACAACATTCACAGCCATTTTCTGAGGGTGAGGAAGGGCCAGGTCGACCGTGGCAGTCCGACGGCAAGGGTCCGCCAATGTCGAGAGCGTGTAGTGAACAATTGCCATGAGAAGCAAAGTACAAGTGCAAGCGGAAACTGCTGGCCTAAGAAAGTGCTCTGAACACCAAGTGTTAGGAGTGCGTGTTGGAGGGAATCCTCTATAACAGTGCGTGGGGTTGACTGGCAAACTGAAATGCATTATGGTAGTATAAAAATACAAAATACTATTGAAGAATGAACGAATGATGATTCACCGGTAACGTTGCTAAAGCAGGTGGAATCGAGTTTGGCGACGAACGCGGGCTAAAAGCAATTCGGAACAGTGCTGAAAGGTGCGGTGGCGACTCGGAAGTGGTTCTGGGAGGAAAGGTAGCCTGAATGAGTTGGTGAGAGCCCTTTGGGATGTATACTATCCGAAGTTCGTGTACAGCATGGAAGGATCAACATTCTTTACATCGAGCGACTATTAACCAATATTGAAGATTATGCCTCCCGTAATGACAACCACGAATTCCGATGCTGGTTTGCGAGAACTCGGCGGCGGTGATCTGTCAAATGTCAACAACCTCTGCTCGACACGTGCAGCCGATTCCAAGTTTGGTGATTCCGCTCGGCACGTTGGCCTCAACCAGGGGAGTTCCATTCCATTCCAGTCCAGCCCTGTGGTGTGGAGTGGACTGCTCAACCGAAACAAATGGATTTCCCGCAGGACCAGTGCGGCAGATGGTGTAACAAGAGGACACGTGTCGAAAACTTCGCCCCACAGGACCAGTTTTGAACATACTTTGGGCGGCCAATATCATTGATACTCAGATTATGCCAGGCGCGGTTCGCAAACGTAATCAACCGACATTTTCTTGGTATAGTAACTACATATACAGTTAGATCCCGGTTTAAGCACAATTCTCAAACAAAGTCGCCACCAGCACCTCAACCGCACGTACCCAACAAAACAGGAAAATACTAAACGTTTGGATATTAACCTTAAATGGACCATCAAGTGTTTAGAACTATGCCTTCCGCTTGGATTATCTCAGCGAAAAAACGACACCGTCCAGCAGAGCTTGCTGCCCGCAGGCGATTAAAAATAAACACCATGCGGAAAGGCATCCAGTCCGGATGGCATCAACCTTAAACACCTTGTCGCATGACGTTTAAGGTTGATGCTTCCGTTACATAACATGCCATTTGATGTGGTTTTAGTTTTCTTCTGTTCTAGATCAGCAGGTCCATAGCCGACGGAGGGTTGACGGTGCCATCGATCCCATTCCGTTGAATTATTCCCAGTCTGCATCCATTTTCCTAATGGTTTTTAAACGCAATCTGTGCTTGATACAAATTTTATTTCTTGGGTAGCACTTCGACACAATTGTTCATAACTTAGGTAATCGCGTTTTGTTTCTGTCACATTTTGGAGGTTTTATTAGCGTAAAAGTGTGATTGAAAAGAGAGAACCAATCAGCGATGAGAAATCGAGGTTGAGTACCGATGCAAACTTTCTCTGGCATACTTTGAGTATCAATGATATTGGCCGTACTTTGGGCCTCGCGTGAGAGAAATTCTAGAAAGTGGTGCTTTTTGAGTAAACCTAGGGCTAAATATGAGAGAATTCTGAAAGTCAGGAGCTGGGATATACTTTCCCTTTCCTGCATCCACCTTTTGAGTCTCCTCTCCGCATAAAAAGGCGGCCACGCGCTACAGGCATTGTGACGATTGATTTCCTACGTCAAATCCATCGTGGCAGAACAGGTGCCACATCTTTGCTCTGAATCTGTTTCAGCCAATGCGTGAAGCCGATCGGCTGCCATCCAACCAAAACCAACCTGAAGTGAGGCATCTATCTGAATGGGATTCTGCGAGCTGACTAGACTGAGCTGCCCCGGCCCCTGAGGACAAGTGTGCATGCAACTGTCACTCGGACGTTCGAGAATGGCGAATTCGAGGCTTGTGCGACCTCGCTCGGTCAGGCTGATTGTCTCAAAATTTCCATCCCGCGTCAACTCCAACCCACTCCATTCCACCCCAAGCAACCCCTTTCAAACCGACCTCGCCATCATGTCTCCATTACAGGCATAGAGAAGACGCGAAAGTTTCATGCGACTCAGCAGAAACCAGCTCAAGCAATTCTCGAAACAGGTGGGTCCAGAGTCTACACCTGGATGCGGCTCAATGAGACTTGGTACGATCTAGAGCGCTCTTTCTGAGATTTAGAATGGTTGGGTAGGGATTTTTTTTTTTTTTGGTAATTGATATATACACCAAGTACAGCAGATGTATATAGCAATAACAGTCGTAACTGTGGGGTAGGGAATTCTGCAACAGCGTATTAGGTCGGGGCTGTGCCGGATAGCGCGCCTCCAACCGCTCTGTACCACTTGAGCTCGGCTCTGACGAGCTGTAGTCAAAACAACGCCACATCAACCACAAGATAGTTCCTTCTCAAGCCTCGTGCGCAGCCGCATTTTCAGTAACTTTATTCCTTTCAACAAGGCCGTCTTAAAGCCCAAGACCTGAATTACTCAACGGAAGTCAACGCTAAAAACTAGGTTCGGGAGGCAGGCACGGAGAGGCTCGGTTGGGTTGCGAGAGACTTTCACTCGCGAAACCAATTTGCGACAAAAGTTTCTCGCTTCCCATGATGGGTGGGGTCCTTCCCACAACCAGAAAAGCGCGAGCACAGCAAACTGTGCACAGTTTGAGATATCACGCTAAGTACTAGGCATAGACCATACTTGTAGACAGGGCTGGGCGTCGGCGTTCACTCAACAGGGATCAGATGGGCCTTACGATGTGGGTGGCGCGGATTTCGATGATGATGCGCAACCCTAGTGTTCGCTGGGTGAAGTTTTTTGTGTCGAAATGCAGGTTATTGTGCAACTACTCCGTAGCGTAAACTCGCGGCGAAAATCGAATCGCCCAAACGTGACCCCTCCCGTCGCCCTCGCTTTCCTTTCCCTCGCTTCCGCTCTCTGTCGCCCGCGTCGTCGCCATCGCTTCCGCAGCTCGTCGCGTTCGCGACCCCAGCCCGTCGCCTTCGCTCCGCCCGTCGCCTTCACTCCCCCCCCTCCCCCCCCTCTTCCGTTGCCTTCATTTCCCCCTCCCGTCGCCTTCACTTCCCCCTCCCGTCGCCTTCATTTCCCCCTCCCGTCGCCTTCATTTCCCCCTCCCGTCGCCTTCATATCCCCTTCCCTGCTTCCCCCCATCTCCTTCCCTGCTTCCCCCCATCCCCTTCCCTCCTTCCCCCCATCCCCTTCCCTGCTCCCCCTCATCCCCATCCCTGCTTCCCCCCATCTCCTTCCCTGCTTCCCCCCATCCCCTTCCCTCCTTCCCCCCATCCCCTTCCCTCCTTCCGCCTGTGCCCTCCCCTGCCTCCCCCCATCCCCTTCCCTGCTTCCCCCCTTCCCCTTCACTGCTCCCCCTCATCCCCTTCCCTGCTTCCCCCCATCTCCTTCCCTGCTTCCCCCCATACCCTTCCCTCCTTCCGCCTGTGCCCTCCCCTGCCTCCCCCCATCCCCTTCCCTGCTTCCCCCCTTCCCCTTCCCTGCTCCCCCCCGTCCCCTTCCCTCCTTCCCCCCGTCCCCTCCCCTGCCTCCCCCCATCCCCTTCACTGCTTCTTCCCAACCCCTTCCCTGCTCCCCCCCATCCCCTTCCCTGCTTCCCCCCATCTCCTTCCCTGCTTCCCCCATCGCCTTCCCTGCTCACCCTTGCTCCCTCTGTTTCACTCTTGCTCCCTCTGTTTCACCCTTGCTCCCTCTGTTTCACCCTTGCTCCCTCTGTTTCACCCTTGCTCCCTCTGTTTCACTCTTGCTCCCTCTGTTTCACCCTTGCTCCCTCTGTTTCACCCTTGCTCCCTCTGTTTCACCCTTGCTCCCTCTGTTTCACCCTTGCTCCCTCTGTTTCACCCTTGCTCCCTCTGTTTCACCCTTGCTCCCTCTGTTTCACCCTTGCTCCCTCTGTTTCACCCTTGCTCCCTCTGTTTCACCCTTGCTCCCTCCCCTTCTTCTCTTCTCACTCTCTTCCCCCTTGCTCACTCTCTATACTTCTGCTCACTCTGTTCCCCCCTGCTTCCTCTCTTCCCCTCTGTTCAATCTGTCCCCCGCTGCTTCTTCTCCTCCCCTCTGCTCATTCCGTTTACTGTCTTTCCCACTTCACTCACCCCCATATCCCCCAATGCAGGTACAGGTGCCCAGCACCAGATGTGGCTTTACCACGGCCTGGTTTGTTTGCTTGCAGTGTAGCAGACTGGCAAGACAAACCGGGAAGCAACATCACACACACACCCCCTAGCTTTGTTCCCTTCTCGAGTTGGGTGATTCCCCTAACTTTACAGATACGGTAATATATTAATTATTGAACTCCTTGGTATTGGTCATATGTATGACTGCTCTGAGGCTCATAATCCTGTATTATAAAAAAAAAATCCAATACATGGCATGGCTATACATCATGTTACTATCAGACAGCCTAGGTTATTCACAACCAGATGCAGAGCAGGCCTGTCCAAACACAAACCAAGAAGTCAGATGTGACGTGGCTGAAATATAAGGGAAGCAAGCATTCAAAAGAATGACAACTGGCAAATGAGGGAGGAACAGAGGAAGGGAAGAAGTGATGAATGCAGGAATGAAGGAAGGGAGGAAGTGATGATGGGAGGAAGGGAGGCAGGGAGGACGCTTGGGGGAGAAGCAGAAGGGAGGGGAGGAAGAAAGGCTGGGGAGGAGGGTGGGGAGGAGAAAGGGTGGCAGGGAGGTAACGAGGATGGAGGATGGGAGGAACAGATGGAGGTGAGGTACGGCAGATGGGAGACATGGAGGAACGGGGCGGGGAGAGGAGGGAATGAGAAAACGAGAGGAGGGAATGAGAAAACGAGAGGAGGGATCGCGAGAGGAGGGATAGGGGCAGGAGTTGGGGATGGGATGGATGGGGAGGAGGGGATGGGTATTGAAAGGATGGATAGCGGAGGTGGTGAAGAACAAACCTTTTGGCGAGGCAGAAGATGGGAAGATGGGAAGAAGCAGGGAAGAGAGGGGTCGGGTGGAGGTGACGGGGAGGTCGCGGGATGGGGTATGACCGTATGGTGGGATGGGAAAGTTGGCAGAGGGAATGATGGGATCGGGAAAGGAGGGATGGGGAAACGAGGGAATGGGGATGAGGAGTAGGATGGCATGGCGGAATGGGGTGGGGCGGAATGGGGTGAGGCGGAATGGGGAGATGAGGGATGGGGAGATGAGGGATGAGGAGATGAGGGATGGGGAGGTGTGGGATGGGGAGATGAGGGAGGGGGAGATGAGGGATGGGGAGATGAGGGAAGGGGAGATGAGGAATGGGGAGATGAGGGAGGGGGAGATGAGGAATGGGGAGATGAGGGAAGGGGAGATGAGGAATGGGGAGATGAGGGAGGGGGAGATGAGGAATGGGGAGATGAGGGAAGGGGAAATGAACGCATATGCGACGGAAGCGGAGAACGACCTGTCGGTCGAGGGGAGGGTGCGTGCGTGGGTGACAGGAGGGGAATGAGCGAGCTCTTTCGAGGGAAGGGAGGAGATGGGGTGAGGAGGAGCTAAGGATTGGATGGATGGGAACAAGACGGGACGGAGGGAGGACGGGAGGAAGGGAGGACGGGAGGAAGGCAGGACGGAAGGAAGGGAGGACGGGAGGACGGGAGGAAGGGAGGACGAGAGGAAGGCAGGACGGAAGGAAGGGAGGACGGGAGGAAGGGAGGACGGGAGGACGGGAGGAAGGGAGGAAGGGAGGACGGGAGGACGGGAGGAAGGGAGGAAGGGACGACGGGCAACAGAGAGGGTAAAGAGGGTAGTGAGGCAGGGAGATGGAGGAAGGGAGGAAGGGAGAGGGAGAGGAGGACGACTGTGGGGGAATACGGAACGGAGTAAGGGGGGAGTGCAGGAGGTAATAGTGTGGCAGGGTAGGCGCCCTCTCTCCCTAACCCCCGGCTCCCCTGCCCCGCCCCCTGCAGCACTGCACTCCTTGCTGCCCGCCTGCACGCGCTGCCCTGGCTGTGCCCCCAACACTCTGCTCCAAAGCCTCATCACCACCTGCCATGCGTGCGGGGTTGGTGCGAGAGAGGGGAGGAGGTCAGTGCAAGAGAGAAAGGGGTGGGTGCTGCTGACCACGCACCCTTCCACACCCCACAGCGAACGAGTCACGACCCCATCCCTAGCTCCCAGCCCAGCCCGCCATACCTCCCCGTCCAGGGTGGGTGAGAGGCTGAGGGGGAGGGAGAATGAAAGAGAAGGAAATAAGGGTGCAAGGGTGGGGTGGTAACCATGGACGATGGTAGGAGTAGAGAGGGTGGCAATGGGGAGAGCGAGAGCGACCAAACAAGGCAATGGGGAAGGGACACAGGGGAAGCGATGGTGAAGAGGGGGAACGTGATAGACAAGGGAGTGATGACGACGCGGAGAGAGGTGGGAGGGAAGGGAGGTCGGCGGCAAGGCTAAGCGAGGGCGATGGGAGGGCAAGCGCGGGCGACGGTGGGGGTGGGCGAAGGTGGGGGGAAGGGTGGGCGATGTTATAGTCACAATAGGCTTGAATGTGCCTAAAACGAAAGATAGAGAGCACAGACGGATTTCTGCACAGCGGCTTCAAACGTTGATAGCGTTCTGCTCACAGCTGCAAATGACTTGATTCAAATTGGATCTGGAGCGTCTTCACGTCGTCTACAATTATCAATTTAGATTGCACGATTTGATAAAGAATTGACGACACAGCGTCGGTTTGAACGAACGGTACTATGGCAGCCACTATAGTCTTAGAACACAAGATAGGAAGAGTTACGAGTTGGGAATGACTCCCAGCTCCTACAAACCCCAAGAGCCGAGGTACAGTGATGTGGAACAGTGCCACACTGTCCCCAACCACGAAGGGTCTCGAAACTACCCTTCACTAGGGCCTACACCAAGTGAAATGTTACACTACACAAAGTAATGTAAATATCTTCAATATCTTGAGGTGTACCCTTTTTGGCGAGCTTCGAAATCACTTGAGGCTTGACACCAAGGCTCGGGCTCTTCATCACAAACTCATCCTTGAGTTCTTGATGGGTCTGCTGCACACACCTGCGACACGCCGAACGTTCGACACAGGACAAAATAGAAACCGCGCACGACAAAATAGAAACCGCGCGCGAGACACAAACAACCGCGTAACACGCGTCTAGCGATAACTCGCTATTGACTCGATACACACACTCGACATCATGACTCAACATTCACACACAATTATAAGCATGAAATATATATTATCCCATGCCCTCATACCATTCCATACACACACACATTCACGCACACGGACAACAAGCCGAGTGCAAACCGTAGGGTTGCACCAACAAACTCCCCCTCGGATTGTTGGCCTTAGGATATGTTGCTCTCTCAGTTCAGAGCCATCCCAGCCAGCTTGCAACACTTCCAATGCTGCTGCTCCACCAGCCTCTTGGTCATCATGTCAGCCGGCTGCCCCGTGGTCTTCACGTAGCGCAACTCAACTTCACCCGCGGTTACCATGCTCCTCGTCCAATGCCACTTCACCCTCATGTGCTTCGTGAGTCCATGCAACACAGGGTTCTTAGCAAGAGCAATGGCACCCTGGCTGTCATAGTACAGTGGGGTAGGTCCTTGCTGCTCCTCCCCCAATTCAGCCAACAAACGCCGCTGCCACACAATCTCCCGTACGGCACGGAAGAGTGCCATGTACTCGGACTCCACCGAGCTCAAAGCTTGGTCAACCTGCTTCTTGCTCTCCCAAGCAGTTGGGCCTCCACCAACACAGCATATGAAGCCTCCCACACTTGTCATGTCCTCTGGTTCTGATGCATATGAAGCATCCGAGTAGGCGGTGAGGAACAAACGCCCGGGTTCAACACCATCCGCGCCCTTTTGGCGCCTTTGTGCCGCCGCCGAGTATTGCAGCCCAACGGTCGGTGTTTGGCCAAGATACTTGGCCACCCTCATTCAAGCTGCTACCTGCTCCTCATTAGGGCATTGCACAACCCTAGCCAGCTGCCCGGTAGCAAACGCGACGTCCGGTCGGGTGTTTACCGCCGCATACATGAGGCTGCCCACCAACGAGTGAAATCGGCGCCTCTCCTCTTCACCAACGCTCTCCTCCTCTGGTCCCTTCACACACTTGAACCCAGAGGGAAAGGGTGTAGCCACATGGCCTTCACTCTGCCCAAAGTTGGCAGCCAATGCCTCCAGGTACTTTCGTTGATGCACCCGCATGCACCGCTTCTCCACATCTCGTTCGATGTGGAGCCCAAGGTAGAAGCTCACGTCACCAAGGGCCTTGCACTTGAACTTGTCTTGAAGCTTCAGCATCACCTCCTTCACAAGGTCAGAAGAGGGTGAGAAAATGAGGATGTCATCCACATAAACCACCATGAAACTCCTCTGCTCCCCCTCGCCAAGCATGAACAAGGAGTGATCGGCCGTTGAGGGAGTGAAGCCGATCCCCTCCAACACTTCGCGCAGCTTCATGTACCATTGCCTAGGGGCCTGCTTCAGCCCATAGAGGGCCTTCTTCAGCTTCCACACTCTGCCACTACCATCATCAAACCCCTCTGGCTGCGCCATAAAAATCTCCTCCTCAAGGATGCCGTTAAGGAATGCCGTTACGATGTCCATTTGCTTTACTACCCATCCTTTGATGGCGGCTCCCGCGAATAGGGTTCGCAGCGTCGTCGGCTTCACCACAGGGGCAAACAGCTCCTTGAAGTCCACCTTCTCCTTCTGCTGGTACCCCTTGGCTACAAGCCTAGACTTGTAGCGCTCGATCTTGCCGTCGGCATCCGACTTGATTTTGAAGAGCCACTTGGACGTTATCGCCGTACGCCCCTCCGGTAGCTCCACCAATTCAAACGTGTCATTCTCCTCAATGCTCTTCAGCTCACTCTCCATGGCCTTCTTCCACTCCTCAGCATCACTACTCTCCAAAGCCTCCTTGAGAGTTGCTGGTTCTCCCGGCATCTCCACCGGAGAGAAGAACGCGAAGGCACACTCCTCGTAGTCACTCTCCTCGTCGTCTCCGACCATCATTGCCGCTCCGGCCAGGGCTGTCTTGCCCTGATTTCCCGGCGCATCATAGGTCAGCCTATTAGGGGGTTGAACTCTCCTCTTCCCCCTTCCTTCCTCCTCAGCTGCAGGGACTTGAAGGCCTTGGCGTTGCTGCGGTGTGGCTCGAATCCGTGGAGCACTCGTAGTACGGGAAGGGAGTGACGGTGCACGCTCGCTCACTTGCTGCACCTCCTCCTCTTCTTCCTCTGCATCATTGGCCTCCTCTTCCCCATTCACAAGGGAGGATTGCCTTGTGGTTGTGCTGCCGCTGCTCAGCTCCAAAGGCAGCTCCACATGCTCCAAACCGGAACTCTTCACCTCCCCAAACCGCACGCCTATCTTCGCCTCATTCTCCGCCTTCCAATCCTTGTACATGAAGTTCTCCATGAACTTGCAGTCCCTGCTCACCAAGAACTTCTTGGTGAATGGGTCCCAAAGAAGCCATCCCTTGCTGTTTTGAGCCATGCCCAAGTGCACGGCCCACACCGCCTTGGCACCAAGCTTGTTGTGCCGAAGATGCTTAGGCACGAGCGCCATGCACATGCACCCGAACACCCGAAGCATATCCACCTTTGGCTTCCTTCCTAGCCACTCCACATAGGGCACCCATTTTTCTGCTCCCACATGAGTCAAGGCTCTGTTCTTGGCCACACACGCGCTCCGCACCGCATCAGGCCAGAAATAGTCGGGTAGCCCGGCTTCAATGAGCAACCCGCGTGCCGCCTCCGTGATTGTGCGGTTCGCTCGCTCGGCGATGCCGTTCATTGCAGGGGAGTATGGCATGGTGAGGGAGTGCCGAATACCATTCTTCTTCAGCCACAACCCAAACTCCTTGCTCAGGAACTCTCCCCCTCGATCGGTGCGGATTGACTTGACTAGACGGTCTTGTTGCCGCTCCACCATCGGGAACCAATCCGTCTTCAACGTTTCAGCCACGTCGCTCTTCTTGGCCAGCACGTACACCCAAGTCATGCGGGTGTAGACGTCGACAATGGTGAGAAAATACTCAGCTCCAGCAGCTCCAAGCTTCAGGGGGCCCACCACGTCCATCACCACCTCATCAAGCAGTGCCTTTGCCGTTGCCTCCGAACTAGGGAACGGAAACCGGGTGAACTTGGCTTGAATGCACGTCGGGCAGCCAAGCACCTCATCGGGCTCCCCCTTCACACGTATGCCAGCAACCATCTCATTCTTCACTAGCTGCTGCAAGATGGGCAGGGCCACATGCCCCATGCGCCGATGCAAGGTGAGCCAATCACACTCCCCCGTAGCCGAAGTTGGATTGGAGAATGCCGCGCTCGCAATAGCGCCCCACATACTCTCTCCGTAGTCCTCCTCCGCTGCTGCCTCTGGGTTCTCCTCACCCTTTTGCTGCTCCTTGGTTGCTGCACCACTCTCCTTAGGTTCACTGAACTTGCTGGTCCCTCCAGGTTTGCTCTTCTTGAGCTCATTCTCCTTAGCGCGACCGTTCGCGCCATCGTCGCTACCGACCGCTCCATCCTTGGTGCTGATGCTTGCTGCCACTTGCCTCTCCTTAGGCATAGGGACCACTGGGATCTGCCACATCTCGTTGTAGACATCCCTGTCCTCATGAAGGTCCCAAAGAATTCAATCGCCAAGCCTTGCGGTGTAGGTCTTGGCTCCCTTCGAGTTCGTGTCCATGCCGGCCTTTGCCAACCGCCGCACGGAAATCAGGTTTGCAGCAAGGCTGGGCACCCAAAGCACGTTCTTGAGGCCCACCATCTTCCCATCAGCACCCTTTAACATGGCCTTGCCCATGCCTTTCACCTCTGCTCGCTGCCCCAAAGCCGATGTGACATGCTTCACCGGTGACGGCTCGAGTTCGGTGAGCAAGTCCGGGCGAGGTGTCATGCTATAGGTAGCGCCACTATCAATCACCCAATAGTCCAGGGGGTGTAGGGTCACCTTCCCCACAGCTGCTGGCTCCTCAAAGCCTTCATCCTTCTCTGGACCAGCCGGTACTTGCGTCGA